AACTCAGTACTATATTTACAGAATATTCAGGGAAACCTATTATAGTAGGAGGGGACTTTAATTCTGTTTTTAAACCTGAAATGGACAGAAGTGAGAAACCGCTACCATCTGACCGAGCATCCTTGGCAGCACTCAATGATTTTTGTAAAATCATGGATCTCTTCGATGCTTGTGTTACACCCCTGTACAGCGTACTGTAAGGGGAGAAATAAAGAAGAAAGAAACAAACACGTTGTTGCTGGCTTTCATTCAATGGTGTAATGAATAATATGCAATAACGCATCATATTATCATTGTACAATATTATACACTTAGATGAACATACATGCACTGTTTAATACCTTTACATCTGTCATATAACAGGCTAGTATTTCTCAATATTGTATAATCTACTGCTCGTTTTATGTAAACACATTTAACTCTTTCTTAGTTGCTTTAGTAGTTATACACATACACACTTGCAGAGTGATATTTCTTTAAACTGTACCATGTAACTGTAATTGTTCAACTGACCGATACAACTTAAATAACACACTCTCAGTAGACGCACTACACGTGTCTCCATTGCGCTCTGTCTGTGTGATTCAAGCTAGCATGCACGCATCACGGCAAACACATTCATGCTTAAACTGCTTCATAAACATACTGAAATTACTTTGTATACAGAAAACATATCACTAACTTGTTCCCGGAAACTTACAATACATTTATACTTGGTTTTATTCACTTTTAACCAGTATTCTTACCTGTAAGGGGAGAAATAAAGAAGAAAGAAACAAACATGTTGTTGCTGGCTTTCATTCAATGGTGTAATGAATGACGCTCAGACAACACGCTCCCCCTGCTGGCATAAAACCGGAAGTGTAAAACAATAACAAAAGCTTAAGACCAAACCAATCAATTACCGATATGCTTTTAAACTTAACCTTTAGCAGCATGAATTAACATTAAATTGTAACTAGCTTTTTAGCATTTTTAAAGGATATACAACATTTTAGAAAGACACTAGTTTTAACATGTATTATTAATTTAACTTAGTGCACAATCTTATATCCATTACACTTGGAGATTACTGAATCCAGAAAACAGGGATTATACTTTTTACTCGAATCGGCACAAATCCTATTCAAGAATTGATGCATTTTTGGTTACGCAGAATGTTCTCTCCAATGTATGGTCTACTGACATACTGAACATGGTTTACAGCGATCACTGCCCAATAACTCTGTCATTTTCCCCCTCCACATATTTCATCAAACCATCATTATGGAAGCTTAACAACTCACTTCTAGCTAACAAGAAGCTTGTTGAATTTATTAACACTGAAACACAGCTATTTTTTGAGGCTAATGAGAAAAGTGTAAACTGCTTCTCGACAGTGTGGGAAGCCAACAAAGTTACTTGTAGGGGCTGGTTAATTAGCTTTGCCTCCAAACAAAAGAGAGAGAGGGCAGCAAGAATGCAAAAATTAACAGAGGTGTTATCCAGATTAGAATCAGCCCATAAAGCCAAACCAAAAGATGACCAGATATATACGGAATTGATGAAGGTTAAACTGGAAGTCAAAGATCTATTAAACAAAAAACAGAATTTGACTTGTACCGATTGAAGGCTAAATATTTTGAAAATGGTGATAAGGCTGGAAAACTTTTAGCCTATAGACTGCAGAAAGCTCGAGCCTCTCGGATCATCCCTGCAATTAAATCTAAAAATGCAGCGGTGCTGAAGTCACCTCAGGAAATAAATAATAGATTTCAGAAATTTTATAAGAACTTGTATTTGCCCGAAATTACAACGTCCCCAGATAAATTAGATAAGTTCTTTAGTAAAATAAAGATGCCTAAACTATCGGAAGAGGACATTTCCCAAGGTGAAATCAGAGATGCAATCAAATGTCTGAGTAGTGGCAAGACCCCAGGAGATGATGGATATAGTATTAACTTTTACAAAATGTTTGTGGACCAGCTTGCTGGCAAGATTCAAAAGCTTTTCAACGAAGCTAAGGATGGAGGCCGCCTGCCAGAAACAACTCAATCATTACTTATAACACTTTTACCCAAACCTAACAAAGACCCTTTACAGTGTGGCAGTTACAGACCAATTTCTCTGATTAATTCTGAAGGAAAGATATATGCTAAAATACTTGCTAGGAGAATGGACCAAATTATACCTAAGCTTGTTCACGTAGATCAAATAGGGTTTGTGAAATCAAGACAAATAGGGGATAACATGAGGAAATTATTCCACATAATGCATTATGCCAAATTAATAACTGAACCAGTCATTACTGTATCCCTCAACGCTGAAAAGGCATTTGACCGCATAGAGTGGGATTACCTTTTTAGGACTCTTAGGGAATACGGTTTTGGACCCAACTTTCTGAAACTTGTCTCAATGATATACACCGCGCCTAAAGCCAGAATCACTACTAATGGCTTACTATCTGACCCATTTGAAATCAAAAGAGGTACCCGACAAGGGTGCCCATTGAGCCCCTTGCTTTTTGTTTTATCCCTGGAACCCTTGGCAGAGATGATCAGGACCCACCCAAATATTAGAGGTATTACAGCCCCCTTAACAGAACTGAAGATTAGCCTGTTTGCTGATGATATTCTTCTCACGTTAATTGACCCACCACATTCCCTTAAGTACACTTTAGACACTGTAAAGGAATTTGGAACTCTGTCAGGTTACAAGATTAATTGGGAAAAGTCCAAAGCCCTACCACTGAACGTTCATTGCCATAAGATACACATTAACAACTTACCATTTAAATGGTCCCCTGAAGGAATGAAATACTTAGGAGTAACTCTGAAATCTGATATATGTGACAATGTGTCTTTTAACTTTAGAAATCTTATAACCAACATAAAACATGACTTAGAGAGATGGAAGTCTCTGCCACTGACTATATGGGGAAGGATAGACACATTAAGAATGAATGTGTTACCTAGAATAACTTACCTCATTGTAGCGCTACCACTCTCTGTAGATAGGGGACTCTTTAAAGAAATAAATAAGCTCTTCCATAATTTTATCTGGAGAGATAAGACCCCAAGGGTAAGCAGAAAGAAGTTGTATATTGACAGGAAGTCAGGTGGTCTTGGATTACCAGATGTATACAATTATTATCTTGCCCTCAACTCACGCTATCCTCTTAGCTGGGGTTATGGCTCAGATTTAAGAAAAACAAGATGGGAAAATATAGAACATGAAATCATAAACTAATTAAAGGTAAAGATATCTATGCAGGGCCTTTGGTATAGCCCCTCCTGTAGAATTATAGGCAATCCATTAATCCAGTTTTCCTGTGACATCGCTAAAGTTTTACGGAAGTCTTTGAGCTTTACAGCAAAAACATCCCCAAATGCTCCCATTTGGAACAACTACGGGTTTACTCTGGATGGTAGGCCTATGAGGAATGACAACTGGGAGGCTAAAGGAATTGCTATACTAGATGACTTGAGAACTTTGCATAGCAGAAAACTGAAAACGTTCGACGAGATGAAAACCACATATGGCATAGAGAATAAAGACTTTCTGTTATACATGCAAATAAGGTTTCAGCTGTCTAGGCACTTAGGAGAGGCAGTAACCATACCCAAAATTAACGAAACAGAAATAACTCTAAAGAAAACAATAAGTGAAGGAGAGAAAATTGCTTCAAGGTGTACAAACTTTTAAATAGATCACTAGATGATTGTTGGAGAGCAACACAACGGAACTGGGAGTTAGATATAGGTAAATCCCTGGATCCTCAGACATGGGAACATATTTGGAAAACACTCCACTCAGTTTCCAAATCAGTTAAAAACAAGATGATTAATTATCATTGTATACATCGACTATACTTTACACCGGTTCGACTTAATAAGATGGACTCATCTAAGTCTGATCTGTGTTGGCATTGTAATCGATTTAAGGGAACCTTTTTCCACATGTTATGGTCCTGTGATTAGTTTTTGTTGTTGTTCTCTGTCTGTTTTTATTTATTTATATATTTTTTCTGTCTTTTTTTTAATTTTATTTATTTTATTATTTAATTTTATTTTTTGTCGGATGTTGCAAATATCTGAACAAAAAGAAAAAATGTTAATGCATACTGTAAGCTGTCTTTAAAGTTGAACTTAAATAAAGAACTTTAAATGAGAAAAAAAAATGAGTAGAGAGCGTTCACAGCCGATAGCGGCCGCCTGGAGAAATAGCCTCGCGGCCAGAAACAGTGATTACTCACTGTGTGTGACTTCCCCCGGCACTCAGAGCGCTCAAGTTAAAAATCTTTCAACTTTTCAGAGAGGTGCTGTTGGCATCAGTTGTGCTCTTTTCCAAATTTATAATATTCCCTGTAGTTTTTCTGTCGGGATCGTGTCTTGTACCCACATCCTCTTTGCTCCGTGTTTGATTGGGAAATAAACGATCTCAAATATAAAACATACAACAACATAATGTTGACAATGAGACAGGATGGGCGTGCAGCACTTTTCTTCTCAGCGCACAAACGCTTCATGCGAGCGCACAGCCAGCGCTTTTCTGCCCGGAAAAAAACGCTAGAAGGCCACTGGGCCTTAGGCTAATTGTAAAGCCTTTATATGCAATTTTTCACACTTAAATATAAATCAAGTCTATCCTCTGAAAATAACTCTGTGAGTCATGACTGTCTACAATGGGTGTGACACCCGAGTCCCACTGTCTGTGATGCTTTCAGAGTTTTCAGAGCCCTATCTTCAGTTTGTTTACATCGCCAGGACGGCCGGCTGACTCACTCCTCCCCTCGTGTATAAAAGTTGTTTTATTGAGGGACTAGAGAAAAGAAGAATAACATACTGTACTCACTGCTTAACTGTGTTTCTAGATCACGCTCATTTCAGGTAAATTTACATGCAGTGTGAAGATACGAGCAGAATAAAGATTGCTAGCATTAGCATACTAACACAACAATGCAGCATGAGTTGTTTTGGTTTCATGCTGGTGCTCAAGGGCGACATATGCTGGATCAACAAATCACATAAAGCCTTTAAGGCAAAGCAGAACGTGTTTATCAGTGATGGGTCCAATTAAATACTGTGTGTTTCAGTCTTGTGTCATTCTCTAAACACATTCTGCTTTTTTAGAAACTCCAATGGAAACAGAGTTCACATCTGTCACAGAGGTGAGAGTGAGGACATTTCAGCCATGATTATAATTACTGGAGTTTATTGAACAAGCTCTTTTAACTACAATCAAAATGTAATGTTTGTCCTGCAGACCAACCGAGCATATGAGGACCTGAGGGAGGACAAACGGAGAGGATCCCTTCCTTACGAACACGCCGTGTACACCAAACCGAATGGAGTAGAAATCGACCATGAATACAGCACTGTCACTAGAGCCAGGTCTCATCATGCAGTAAGTGTTTGTGTGTGGCACACGTTTTATGGTGTTCTGGGGGAAGGTACAAGTAGATGAGGAGGTAATCAGCCTGAGCAGCCTACAGAGGGAAACACCCAGCCTGGTGTTTTGTTAGCGTTCAAGTTCTTATAGGATGAGTGTATGTCGATCTACTGAGGCTTTATTGTTACATGGACACGGATGTTCAAGGACTGAGTCATCTAACCCACCAAGCCACACAAAAGACGACTTTTAGTATGGATTCTACGCGCTGTTTTAAATCTTTATTTTAGAGAAAGGACAGAGACCACTTGACTCTGCAACAGATTCATTGCTGACTTATTTTTATTTTGTCTTTCTTTACCCAGGCTGAAGATGACTCTGGTAACATCACCTACTCTGTATTGAATTTTACCAATCGTACGACCGCCTCGCTCAACATCGCCCCCAGTGGATGATCTGACAATGTCATCTACTCATCACCTCGAGAGATGTGAGCTCTGATGTGAGCGATGCCCAAGATGATTGGCCGTAAGAGGTGACATATTCTCCTCCTCTTCTTCAGTGTCAATAAGTCTCAGAGCTCCTCAAAACATGTGTGTGAAGTTTCTTGTTCTAAATCCACTCTGATCCTGTATTTGATCATGTCAATAAACCCCTCTATTTCAGCCCTACTCAGAACAGGCTGTTTCTGTGTCTGTACCTTTAAATATGTAAATGAGCTGTGTCTGACCACGCCCCCTCTCTGGAAGGTCTATGGTGTACTCGGTCTTTCTCGCTCCATGTCCTATTGTTTACGGTGAGAAGGCAGACTCAGAGGGCAGAACAAACACCTAGCTGTGGGAGTGTCACCCACCTGGGGGAGGGGCTACTGCCCTTTGTGATGTCATGAAGGGAAACTCTCCAAACGGCCTGTTTGAGCATACATTTTCTGAAAAGTGGAGCAGGCAGAAGACGGAGAGGATGGACTTTTCTCATCATTGGGGGGTTTGTAGACAGACTAGAGACACATATTAGAGGTAGAGGAACATGGTGAAGAGGATTTAGCATCATATGTGACCTTTAATAAGCTTCATTGCTTCCACTGTCACATTTTACATCATACATTAAATAACTGTAGCTAAGATTGAAAATATTAACATCTGTTAAATTTGATCTGATTTAACTGATTTGGATTTGATTTGTTTATTCTGAACATGTAACGTAAAACGAAGGTGAACATAAAAAAAAAAACAGAAAATAAACAATAATTACAAACAGTGGAAAGTATAATTCAGCTATTTTAAGTGACATGGGAAGAAGTAAACACTTATTGAATCCCAACCCCTCTCCATCTGTTCAGCTAGCTTGTATTATATTTGTAAATTAAGATTATTATAAAGTGTAATATAATATGAAAATATTTTTTTGTAGTTTATATTTGTATCTTTTCAATGTTATAAATAAATACATAAATGAGCGACAGATTCTAAATAATACAATAACAAAAACAACAGCAATAAAAAAGAAAACAACAGCAACATCTTGTAAATATTGATCCTTAATTAACTACAAAAGTGTCGCCTCTACTGTTTGCTTCAGGTGAGAGCTACTTTTCTACTTGTACCGTATTTTGAATGTATAGTATGTATATTCCACCTTCAGGTCCCGTTTGTGCTTATGTGTGTAATCTGGGACTATGTGTGAAAGAAGCATGTCTCTCAATAATGGAGTGTAAACCAGAATTTCCCCTCTGGAATTAATAAAGTCAATATCTTCGCTGTTTTTGTTTTGTTGTTATTCTTTGTTAAGCTCCTTTGAGTATTTAGAAAAGCGTTATAAAGGTCTGATGCATTATTATTAAAGCTTGTTTAAAAAGAAAAAAACAGCTGGCTTGTTCCATCCAAGCATCCATTATCTATACCGTTTTTTGCCGTTCAGGGTCACAGGGGGCTGGAGCCAATAGCAGCTGGTGAGAGGCGGGGTTACACCCTGGACTGATCACCTGTCAATCACAGGGCTGACATATAGAGACAGACAACCAGATACACTCACATTCATACCTACAGACAATTTAGAGTCAGCAGTTAACCTAACGAGCATGTCTTTGGACTGTGGGAGGAAGACAAAGAGAACACACACATACACAGGGAGAACATGCAGACTCCACACAGAGAGGCTCCTGTCAGACGGGGATTCAAACCAGGAACCTCCTCGTTGTCTCTGATCCCTTGTCTCTGACTAATCTCCTGCTGTTGTTTGTTTGTTTGTAAATGTATGCATTGTCTGGGTGGACTGTGAATTGCCCTCTGGGATAAATAAAGTTGTCTAAGTCTAAGGCTGTGAGGAAACAGCGCTAACCACGGCAGCACAGTGCTTTAAGTTGTTCCTGTAAAGTCTCCTCAGAGCTCGTCGAAGAGACTTTGAGTCAGTGTGCAAACATTTATTGACACATGTAGTCACATTTCTTTTAAAACATGCCGCAATTTTCAGATAAAGAAGAACAAAGTGTGCAAAGGAGGCCAACGTGACACCATCACCTTCCTTCACACACACACACACACACACACACACACACACACACACACACACACACACACACACACCTCACAGGTCTAACACTGTTTAATTTAATAATTTAATTAAACTCCTTTGAATAATGTTGCCGACTATGTGTGGTCTCCCTCTTTTGTCACTGCTCTGTTGAGCCAGGACACACACACTGTGTAGAACTACTGACACACACACTGTGTAGAAATACTGACACACACACTGTGTAGAACTACTGACACACACACTGTGTAGAACTACTGACACACACACTGTGTAGAAATACTGACACACACACTGTGTAGAACTACTGACACACACACTGTGTAGAACTACTGACACACACACTGTGTAGAACTACTGACACACACACTGTGTAGAAATGATAAGAAGAAGAATGGAGGATTCTTTATTTCTCTTTTTGGAGGAGAACCCGCTGCTGAGAAACAGGAAGTGTGACTTACAGACGCAATAAAGACTCACCACTCGTCCAATCAGTTAACAGCATGTTGTTGCTAACGGCAACAGATCCACCACAGCACACGACCCGATGAATGACTTGAAGTTTATTGCACATGAGATGTGGGTGTGAAGTCTGTCTTCCTTTTTCACAGATTTTTAAAAGACTTTTATCAGGATCCTGGAAAACCCGGAATTCTTCTGACGCAGCCTCGTTGTACAACCGCACAACCGGATGTGTTGATCACTAGAACACACTGACACTAAGTCTGCATCCAACGGCTGAACGCTTTCGGACTCGCTTTATTTTTAGCTTCTGCCAGTCTTTATTTGTATACATACGTTTATGTATTTCAGTTTTACTTAAACTGTATTTCCGTTTTCTTTTCTTTCTTCAAAAACAGCATTTTATCCATATTTCAACACAATATGCACAGAAATATACATAAACTTATACTTGTCATTAATTACATGCAAAAACATTTCTGTGTGTTATTATTCTTTTCACAAATATAAAATAATTCAGTTCTGCTACTTAAGAGCTTCTTATCAATTCAATACAGTTGCAAACAGGTTTCCAGTTTAACTGAATAAAAGTTCAATTCTCGCTTAGCATTATGCTAACAAATAACATGGGAAATCCCATAGAGAAACAGCGAAGCTAGCGGAGTTAGCGCTACACTTTTTACATGAATATAAGTACAAAATATGAAAACGAACAGTCTTCATGAACCCACGGTTACTTTAAGAGATATGCAGGAGCTTTACAAAACTAGCAAAAGAGCATGGGAGCTAGGGACAAGCCATGACAGACATATATGAATGTGGCGATGAGCCAGCGCTCATGAGCGTCATAGCTAAACTACCTTAAAACCTTCAAAACAAATTTAAAACACATCCTGACACACACTAAAGGATGGTGTTACCTTCCACATGCTAAAGAAGAATATAGACCACATGTACTTTTGTGATTCGTGACATCTACTCACCGGTAAATAACAGGGAAATAATGAGACAACCACAGGTAGCCTATAGTGTTTCCTTTCCTGCTTCTGCCAGTCTGAAGCAGTGGGCGCGCACTGTAGCTGTTCCCACCAGTGGGCGCGCACTGTAGCTGTTCACACCAGTGGGCGCGCACTGTAGCTGTTCCCACCAGTGGGCGCGCACTGTAGCTGTTCCCACCAGTGGGCGCGCACTGTAGCTGTTCCCACCAGTGGGCGCGCACTGTAGCTGTTCCCACTCAACGTTCTTGAAGCCAAAATACGCCGCTTAGGGGCGCTTCCATCTTGCGATTTTGACGTCATTTGGAGCCAGAGTCTGCGCAGTAGGGTCCGGAGGGATGAGCCCTGGTAACACGCCCCGCCCACTTAGCGTACTGCCCTGATGACTTACGCAGCCCAGCTACGCCGAAAGCGCTCTGCCGGTCTACGATGAAGAAATGTGTAAGTACAACAAACCACCGTATTCAAAGTCTAGTATTTAAACACACTGTGTTTTTAAAAAATCCCGCTATTTTGATCATTACTGAAAATATGTGGGCTGCTGGGTCCTCTGGTTTTAATGAAATCGTTCTATATTTAAGCTATATTTAAGATAGGTTAGACTACAGGTGGTAAGATATGTTGTATTCTGTTAGAAACTGATAGTCTGCAATGTGAGTCATGTCTGCTTTTCTAATATATTTAAGTGAACAGTAAATCTATTGTTTTTTGTGTTTTCATTTAGGCAAATTAGAGATAAAAGCAGCTGGTCTGACATCTTCCACAGAGGTGAAGTGTAAGTTAAAATCATCTGTTAAAAGTTTATATCCTGTGATTGTTTTGAAGTTTCATAAGAGTAAAAACAAGCTGTTGTTAACAATACAGTCTTCTAAAAATAAAAATCACACTGAGTCATACACCAGCTAAATATTAAATAGAAAGGTGATGTTTTCTTTTCCATTTTACAATCAACAGAACCTAAAAATGACTCATTTCAACCTTCATCTCCACACCTGTTACAGAGGTCAGGCTGGGGTCACAGAGTTTGAATGAACCTCCTCCTTTTATCACCTGTGCCAGATGCCCTGCTCATCCACTGTGGGAGAAATGACCTTACACCAGCAGCTCTCCCAGATGAAGAGTCCTCTCTGCCATCACCCAGAGGAGCTGATCGACGTCTGAAGAAGGTGGACAGAGTCTGGTGCTTTGTGACAGTGAACAGTGAGAAGGCTACCATAGTCATCCTCAGATAAAACACAGAGATCCTGGTCAATATTTAATTTATTTTTCTTAACATGATGTTGCCCTGTGTTTGAAAGGCCAGATGCTGGAGGGTTGTGTTGGATTTGCTTTTCCATCATATTTTAACAGTCAAACAATCATCCAGGATCTCTATACTTTATTTGATTTTTGTTTGGATTTTTGTTAAATTAT